TTAATTGATCAGTAGTGGAATAGTTTAATGTTGATTATTGAAAGTGTTATTGCTGACTATTATGGGTTCACGCCCCAATGCAGTTTATGGCTGACATGGGAGTTCTCACATCTGACTTGGTGTTTCAGGCTCCCTGGAGACTCAGGCAAACATGACATCAGTTTGTACTCACTATACAATTGGAGGGTTATGTCTGCAGCCAAAAGAGCTGGAAACTTTATTTTTTTTCTTTCCTTCTATGGAATCTCCGATTGTGCAGATTCTGACGGTGTCATGCAAGCCACATCTATGAGACCCTCCCAAACAGATATTTATGAACGTATGAAGAAACTAAGCCCTTCCAGTAAGAGCCTATCATGAAAATCAAAACTCGCTATCAATTAATAAGTTCTACTACCATCCCCTTTCTACCAAAGAAAGTAGTTAAGAGCACCAAGCTTCATCAGAACAACTCGTGTGAGGAAATATAAAACCAGTAGGGGAATGGGGAACATTGCAGATAGTAACTTTGCTTTTTCTGTGCTCTTTTTGAGCCCATTCTCCGTAGTTCCCAAAACCATTACCAAATTTCCTTCAAGCTTCACACAATAAATACATTCTACGGGTTTTCAGGCACATGAGTCTTTGGCTTTCAAAGTTAGAAGCCTTATAATGTGTACACAGGTGCAATGTCTGTACAACTGCACTCTTCTATCAGCAACCTCTATCAGCAAGCGAACAATAGGGGAAAATACCAGAAAGATGAGAGGACCTCTCATTTATATTTTCAAGGATCAGGTTCAGAATCCTTCCATCTTGCAGTATTAACGTTTGGCACTAGGGGGCATCTGAACATCAGATATATCCAAAGAGCTTTTAGCAAGCTAGGAGTGTTTACAAACCTTGCATAGAATTTATTAGAACTACAATAGAGCAAGTAGAGCTTTGGCTCCATTTGTGAGACAGAGCCCCCTTGGCCCCTATTTCTTGCAAACAGCTCTCACTTTAGATGCTACAAACTTGCTACACCAAACACATCTTACAGGATATTTGTCCATAAAGAGTAACACCTCTCTACAGAAAGCTTGTAACTTGTCAAGACTCAGAAGCATTGTGAGAAGTATGTATGGGCAATATTTAAGGAATAATGTATTTATATTGAAAGTGTTCTTTATTGACTAGAATAAAAATTAGTCACTAGGGGTACTGTGTCTGAGGGCTTGTCTACACTGTCAAGTTTTGTCCCCCAAAACTGCCTTTTGGAGACAAAACAGCAAGAGCGTACATACTACAATGGACCTTTTGTCATGAAAAATGCCCAGTTTTGGCAACAAAAAACTTCCGCCCTTACGAGAGACTTTTGTCTTTCCCCTCCCATTATTGTCGACAAAGAGCCAGTGTAGACACTGCTGATTGTTCTGTTGACAGAACTGGCTTCTGCCAGTATCCCACAATGCCTGGCCTGATTGCTCTGCTCAGTGTTTTGATCTCTGCTGCCCTGTGGGGAAATCTCCCGGAAGTATCTGTGTGCTGCTCCGCTTGGTGAACAAACAAAGAGTAAATCCTTGGAATGCTCCTGTTCTGCCCTGTGCTAGGAACAGGCAGCCTGCTGTGCTGCTTTGCCATTCCTCAACATGGAGAGCTCACAGAGCTGCTCACGATGCTGCTCTCGGCAGCTGAGGGGGCTGTGGGAGAACTCAGAGAGAATCCCAAGATGCGCAGCGATCAGCTCTTCCTTCCCACAACGCTGTACTGTGGGATCCATACCCATGGTGCATTGCTCACCCTGTCGATAATGGTGTCCCCCATATGGACATGCTCTCTCTGTCAATAGGTTAAGTGTGAATACGCTTTGGCGATTTTTGTTTTGTCAACTTTTGGGTGTCGACATAAGTTTTGTCAACAAAACTTGGTAGTGTAGACAAGCCCTCATCAGAGATGACCCATTCATGCAGGGGGAGTTGTCACTCCACCCTGTTTAGCTGGGGAGGTAATGCAAAGCTCAGGGCTTGGCTACACTTGCAAGTTAGAGCTCATTAAAGCAGCCCCAGGCATCCTAGCTCACTACCTGTCCACACTGGCAATCACGGAGAGCGCTCTGACTCCACGGCTAGAGCACCCCTGGTACTCCATGTCGGTGAGAAGATTAACACTTGGTGCACATTGGCTGAAACGCCCGGGTGTCAGTGTGAATGAGGTGTTGCATTACTGCGCTCTGATCAGCCTCTGGAAATGTCCCATAATCCCCTTAAGTCAAGTGGCCACTCCTGTCATTGTTTTGGAATCACTGCAGGCATGCCGATATGCCCTTTGAAAGCTCCATTTCTGACAGCTGGCTGCTTATCTGCTCCGAGACAAAGCAAACATTACTATAGAATGCTGTATGTGTGTGTGAGAGAGAGAGAGAGAGAGAGAGAGAGGAGCGAGGCGGGGGGGGGGGGGGGGGCTGTTGCTGTCTGAACTTACAAGACAGCATGCTGACATGCTCTCCGCCCCCCCCCAACCCACTCTCTCCCCCCACATACACACAACTCCCTCCCTGTCACACTTCACCCTACCCCCCTCATTTGAAAAGCACATTGCAGCCACTTGCATGCTGGGATAGCTACCACAATGCACTGCTCCCTGTGGCCATTGCAAGAGCTGCTCATGTGGCCACGCC